AGTCGCCATAGCCATTTGAGAGTGAACTCGTATCTGAAGCCATATCTCTGAGTTTTGAGTGGGCGCATGTCGCCAGTGTGCTGCGTACTGTTTACACGTGTGAAAAGTGTGTTTGAAAGCGAGTCTGATTGCACAATAGCCGTTTAATATATATATACTTTTTTCATTGCTGCTTCAACTCCCTTCGAAAGGTCCATCACAAACACCCTTCCCTGTAGGAGCTTCATAATGCCACCCCGACGGGTCTCCTCTTCTGTTTCGTGTTCATTCTGTGCGCAAGCAGGCTTGCCATGTAACCAGCGTTGCTCCTACAGTGAAAGGTCACAAACCCATGGGAGTGCAATACATTCGTGGTTGAGCCAAGCTTATTCTGCTCCTCTTCCTCCTTTTCCTCCTCCTCCTCCTCCTCCTCCCCCTTCTCCTCCTCCGCTGCCGTCGCCTTCCCTCCTCCTCCCACTCCCTATCCTCCTGCCTTTCTTCTCCTCCTCATCCAGTTATGATCTTCATCGCCAACTTGATGAGAAAGATGTGCCTCATACCACTACCATTCACTCCTCTGTGAAACCTCACTTAGCATTCCTTCTGTATTCAAATCCCACAACCGTGCAGGGATACAATTCTGTCATGCTTCTCCTCTACCACTCCCAGTGCGAAAGGTCACAACGCCACAGGTATGCAAAAATACATTCAGCGGTTGACACATGTTTTTTCTCCTCCTCAGCATCATCCTCTTCCACTCCCCATCCTTCTGGTTTTCTTCTTCTCTTCCACCTCTTCCTGGTCAAGCCATTATTTCCATCATTTCCATCACCCACTCAATGAGAAAGATTCACTTCCCAAGTCCTTCGCGACATCCATTAAAATTGGAACGATACAGAGAAGATTAGCATGGGCCCTGTGCAAGGATGACACGCATAAATCGAAAAAAAAAAAAAAAAAAAAAAGATTCACTTCTCTGCAAAGACAATCAGATATGCTCCCACAGCCACCTTTCAAAACCCTGCAGGGGTGCAACTGTGATATGCTTCTGCTTCTACTCCTACTCCCACACCCCTTCCTTATTTTCTTCTTCTTCTTCCCCTCGTCCTGGAGTAGTTGCTTTCATCACCCGCCCGACGAGACAAATAGCTCAAACCGATACTGTCCACCCCTCTGCAACACAGACTCCATTACATGGCAACCCAGCCGTGTATTACAGGGACAGACATTCTCAAGTCTGAATAATGGTACTTTTCAATCGACCAACTGAGCCTATGAACTAGTACGAAGCAAGCTCCTGCAGCTGACTACAGGAGCTGTTGCTGCTTCAACGGCAAGAGAAAATAAACAACGAAAAAACTTCCTTATGAACCAACAAATCTATGCATCGAGAAAAAGAGGAAACTGAAAAAGTAAAGTGCCATCGCGACCCCACCCATGCGAAGAAGGGGTACTTTTGGACTTCCATTTTTTGGGTCTGAAAGTTGCAATATGGTACAAAATTGCAAATAGCAGAACCCAAAAAATGGAGGATATGTTGGCATGTGCAATGGAGGAACTGTCAATTGTTTGGGAAACAAATGTAGCTGAACAAAGTACAGAGAATCGGAACCAGGAGTTACCGTACATAGAGTCGTAATAAGAAAAGAAAAAATGGTCTTTTACATGCTGTAAATGTCAAGGAGTCCTCACCTGGTTATAGTTTTTTTTTTTTTTGGTTAATTATGTTGCAGAGAATCCATCCAAAACATGTACAAAAGACATTTGATAAAAGGGCAATATGCAAAAAATTTAAAATTGTTTAAAAATCACTCCGTATTCTTCGAACATAACAAAACTGTGTAACTTTCAAAAACCAAAAGTCACAAACAATCAAAATGTTGCTCTGTTGAGAACCAGCAGTACGCCGCCCGGGGAAAATTTTCAGCTCCCTGAATTCAAGGGAGACCTGGGCGGGCTTGGTAGAGGCTCAATAGAGTCTGGGCATACATGCAGATGGTCGCTCATTTTGAAAATGGAAACGAGGGACCAGAGAAGACAAAAAAGAAAAATTGAAGAGAGAAAAAGCAAAATGGTGGATCGCGGAAAAAAGAAAAAGGCCCCTCAGAAAGGTGTGGGTGGCGCAGAACAGCCCCCTCCGGTGCCAAGCCCCCTGGTGGCTGCTCTACTGTGTGTCTGGGTGCTGCTAGTAAGCCCCCCGACCAGTAGAATAGCCCCCGAGGACGGATGAAGGTTGGGAGATGGGCGCTCTGTAGCAGCCTCCCCTTGTTTAGGGCATCTAGTGCTGCAAGGGCTCGGCTGTTCCCCTCCTCTTATCTTCTATCCTCTCTCATTGCTACATTCGTGTACAACATGATAAGCATGACACTGCGGGGGGATGACATGCATAAATTGAAAAATGTTCCAAAAACAGAAAAACAGAATCCACCCAGCATGGCAGGTTCTGTCTAACTTAACAGAGGCAAAAACGAAGTCGGTGATAATTGCTAGGTTTATAACTTTATAGAACATTGTACCCATTCTGGGTGATCGAGATCATACTTGTGGCGCAACCAGTGCGGTGTGCCAGGCGCCGTGCACGGATCGATGATGCGAGCCCTCCCTCCCTCCCTCTCTCTCTCTCTCTCTCTCTCTCTCTCTCCCCCCCCCCCCCCCCCCCCCCCCCCCCCCCCCCATTTGAGCGGCCGCAGTTGCCGGCAGGCAGCTCACAGCAGCCGGAGGCAGCGACCAGGGGGTGATGGCAGGCACCAGTGCGAGGCAACCGGGGATGACAACCACCAGACAGAGGCAACGGCCAGCAGCGGAAGGTGACTGGTGCGATTTCGCCCGATCGCCCTGCAATCTGGGCCTTCTGTTGCACGACCAGCATGGATCGTAGGGCCAAGCCTAGGAGGCTGCTAACAGAACCAAAGCGAGCAGCTCAGTTGGCAAACCCATGAACTGTTGCAATACAGACCTCAGCTCGAGGCAATCCAGGCCATCTTTTCAGACAAACGACCCACATCACAGGCCAGTAAGAAATCTTTATGATCAGCGTCCGATCTGCGCCATTTGTGAAAATGGTCAGAGCCTACGATCCAAGCCATTCCTTATGACAATTAGCAGTTCCTATAGTATTGCAGACGATGAAACGGCCGTCTCATCACAACAGTACAATTACCAACACATTAAAACCGTTTACGCTGAAAGTCAGTCTAGAGCACACACAAAAAAAAATATAAAAATATAAAAATATATAAAAAAACAACAGATGAAACACATGCATGCAAGCGCACTTGTGTAGCCATAAACATATACTTTACACAAACGAAAAGGAAAAAGAGCAAAAGGATTCAAAAGCATCGCTTGGACAGGATAACACCCAGCCACCTCACCTGAAGCCTCCAACAGCATGGCCAACCCAGCAAGTTGCTGGAATGATCCTGCTCTTTGTCCTTGCTCCCACCTTCTGTGACCATACCTTGAACATGCCATCCATGGAGGCTGTAACTGCAATGTTGCGCGACGGATGATACAACAGTGCAGTTATCTCCGCGCTGAAAGAAACAGCACACAAGATTACACTTAAGACTCTCCTTACCAGACTCAGCTTCTGCCACAGCCAATGGGCATCTTTCCGCAGAGCAATACTACCAGATAGCACCTCTTACTTCACACACATGACGAAAAGGGACAAGTGTAGATGGGAGGTGTGTCGTGACTGAAGATACGGTTGACTCAAAAAAATTTTCTTGCGGATTCATTCTGCTCAATGGCTACTGAAGTTCACGAATTGTTGCTCATGCACACGCACACCAGACATGCCCACTGCCATGTACAATGTTTGACAGTACTTGTCACAGAATTATCTTTTGCTGTGCGGTGTGCACCACCCAATGTGTTGGGGCATCCTGACAATTAATGCATGTATTCAACAATCAGCTTGATCCCAGTGCCCGTTGCGCTCTCTCTCTCTCTCTCTCTCTCTCTCTCTCTCTCTCTCTCTCTCTCTCTCTGCGCCGCGTCCAGAAAGACATCACAGGTCCCAGATGTACGCACCCCTCCCGTTCTGGAGACGATTTACCAAAAGCCAAAAATCTACAGCATCGCATATTCCATATATCCGCCGCACCCCTATCTCACAAACGATAGATAAACAAACCATTTCTAAGTCAACCTCGTAGCAGCATGACTTCCAGCATAAGGCCCAATATTCAAAGAGAATCCCGTTTTCCCACGACCCTCCTGCCTGTGCCTCACAGCGAGGACGAAAACTTCAATGACAGGACCAGGAATTGGGACTGGAGCTGAGACTAGGACCAGGGCTGCAGAAGGGGAATCCTTTCAAAAGGAAAAAGAGTTTAAACCACCAGTACTTCCTAAGTCGTGCCCATTAACAAGCCACGATTTTAGGAAATGTACAGGTCACTACAGGAGTGCCCAAATGCATCCGACTAGAAACGTTTCTATTCTTTTTTTTCCACGGCTGATAGCTGGGCCAAGTACTGGTGGTTTAAAGAACACAAAAGTTAGAAATCAAGTTTAAACAACCAAGACGCACACATCAAGAAAATGCCTTATGGACAACAGCCTGTGCTTTCAGCCTGCAATTAGGAAGAAAAACCGAAAACGAGGTGTTCCTAGTACTCCTCAACCGACTCTACAGCTCATTCACGCACCCCTTCCCTCAACCATCTTCCTCCACGACGTACTCCTCCCACACATATCAAGAAAATACCTTATGGACAATAGGCTGAAAACCAAGAGAGAGATGTTCCTACTCTCTCTCTCTCTCTCTCTCTCTGCGTGTGTGTGTGTGTGTGTGTGTGTGTGGCATGCTGCCGATGCTTTTTTTTTTCGCCACACGGTTACAATGATGGCAAGAGTTTTCCAGCACTGTACAGCAAGGCACAATGTTTCGAGCTCCGCACAGTGCCACAAGAGGCCCTTCTTGAGCCTCCAGATGGTGCGAGGGGTTAAGGTCATAGCACCATGAAGCACCGCAAAGTGACGTTTCTAGCACCAGATGATGCGGACTTTTTGCCACCACCGCCCTGTGCAGTGCAATCTTTGGGGCCACGTGGGACCATAAGCAGAGTGCTAAAACCCTAGGGTGGCACTGGTGTGCTGCCCTCCCTCTGAAACGAACTCCCGGCTTGGGTTCTGTGTGCACCACTGACACCATTCATTCAATTATCCTGATGTACCAACCCACTTGGGTTAGCTATTTTCACATATGTAGTGATGATGTGGTATTTGTGGGGCTCGAATGAAATCAGAGTCAGCAATTGACTGATAGGTACACTGTGCAAAAGATATGGCCCTACCTGTGGGGGTCGTCAACCCTAGTATTTAGCTCATATCCATCATTCTGATCTGACGTTGACTGCCAAAACTTCAAGCAAAATGCACCACCCATACCGTCTTCAGCAACCCTTACATCCACTGTCACCATCACTGAAGCATCAGGGCTGAAGACAACATGACTTATCGATACCTGCACGAGGCAGCACACACCAGGGAATAAAAAGGAAACGTATCATATACATGGGGATACGAGCTGTTGAACCGTGGCTTCATCGATCCACACTACTCGATAGCAAATGATATTCTGCATCCATCCTAACTACACCAGGAGCGGTGTGCCCCAACAATCCACCATTGTCCTGCGAAAGGCAAGATAGCCCATGGCTCATGACAGATCTGCTTGTGGCGCAGGCAGATTCTCTATGCCAGTGAGGGCCTCCCTGTATGTGCATTTTGAGGAATTAGGTTGCCCATGACCATTTCAAAACCGAGCGACGGACAGAAAAAGGAAGAGAGAACGTTGACGATGGAGGAGATCCACGAATTGCCATATTGGGTTTCCAACTTCCCATCATTCAGCATTATGCAACTATCCAACTATACCATGGCTTAACAGATAACTCAGATCGGTTGCCATACACAATTAGGACAACAGTGTGCGGCAAATTGGCAAGGAGATACAAGTGGCCGCTGGAGGGACAGGCAGGTAAAGAAGAACCACCGGTACCACACATCACCATCGACGAGCTGAAAATAAACCGGCTTACACGAATACATCTTATCAGGATTGAGTGTCAGACACACCATCAACTTGCAAGCTACCCAAGGGATGTTCCAAGCCTACAACGTCCTCGGCTGTGCGCTTGCAAGCTACCGACGTGGAATACGCCGTGTGCAGCAATTTGTAAGTCAGTCAAGTGATGCCCCAATCCCAGCAGGACAGGGGCCACGTCCTGTGAGGAAGCGCACCCTGCACAGCACGTGAGCCAAGAACCTCCATGTGCGTGCACTCTCCACTCCTCTCCTCCATCAAACCCAGCACATATTGTGTGCCCTCTCCACACCCTCTATCGAACCCGGTGCATATTGTGTGCTCTCCACACTCTCCCTCATCAAACCCCACGCATATCGTGTGTACTCTCCGCATCCTCCTCCATCGAATTTTGCAATGGGATTCTGGGACAGATTTTTCATGAGCGACATGAACCTTTTATTCCACTCGGTGGCAAACAGGGAAAGACATGATAAGATGGTGAATCGCCAGGTTACATTGTTCGTTCGCAAGAGCTGGTACCACTCCGACGGAAATCTGGAGCAGGTAGAAAAAACTATAAGCAAGGTAGAGACGGCTTTAGAACCAATTTTTTTACTGTGGCGAAAGGCTGCCTCAACGCTCTAGAGCCTCAGGGATAGCCGACAGCCCCCGCAGCTGAGAGGAGCATACAAGGAGGTAGTTGGGATACAGACGACAGGATGAGGGTTTGGGGGACTCAGCCATTAAGTCTTAATTCTTTGGGAATTGGTGTTTACTGGTCACATCACAAGCGAAACTGGCTAATGCTGTGAATATGTCTCCGGGTCTATTTGTAAGGTCGCCCTGGGCTCAGATTTCCATCTACTAATGAACCGTTGACGCTTTAAAATAAGAATAATGATATTTAAAAAAAAAAAAAAAAAAAAAAAAAAGTGTGAAAAACTGTGAGGCTGAAAACGGACATCAGTGGACATGAGGGCTATTTAGCTGTTTCTAATGCCTCTCTCAAACAGGGAACTTAGCCTCTAGTTTAAGAGCCAATTTAAACGAGGGAAGGGGGGGAAGACATGTACATACCGTGGATTCAACATCCTGCCTCTTGTCACTGCCAAGTGACACATAATTCCGCCTCTCGATTTGGAGTGACCTTATGTGTTTACGCATGGCCATGTCATAGAACTGTAGGAAAGAATTGTATGTAGGAAGGGCAAGAAGACCATGCTTTGGGTCTATAGCCGCATCAATCCTATTCTTCACACCAATGCTTTTTACGCGTGGCTGTGTGCACACACACACACACACACACACACACACACACACACACACACACACACACAGAATCAGCCCCAAGACCAATCAGAACGCTTTTTAATTCACTGACATTTGGCTGAGAAGAGAACAAAAGGATCTGAGTCGATTTTGAGGAAATAGACAATTGCAACTTAACTTCGGTCCCAAGATGTTCGTCTTAAAAAAAAGCAACAAACGCCTCTCAGCTATAAACGTGAAGAGCATTTGTGAGACTGACAACGGGAAAAAGAGAAAAAAAGGACTGGACCACATTATGGACATTTTTAAGTGAAAGCCAGACATTATGCGAAGTTTTGGGAGATATCAAGAGTTGGCAAAAAAAGCAACATCGCTGCCCATGCTCCCTGCCACATTCCCATTGTTCTAAGACTACCAGAAAGAGACCTTCTCAGCCGCCCAGGACACCTGTACACCTGCCTTGTAGATGACTGGTATATCTCATACCGGGAGGTACTTGACGGGCAGGCAGTTCAAAACCTTTGACACAATGGTGAAAGTGTTAGCCTCTCTTGAAAGCTGAGAAAAGAAAAGAACACCTGTGAAGTGGCTGATTTCAGCAGCTTGGCAAGGAGTATCGGCAGAGCAGAAGGGCAAGTCATTCCCAGAAAGTCTAGAGGACTTCACCACTTCACAAGTCCTTCGCAAATCAAGCGCACCGTACTCATGACGACAAGCATTCAACAGTAATACCAGGAAGCAAGGCGACCAGAGAGTCCGAGACTACTGACCGCTATCCCCCGGATGGTCCGTATCACGGACATTGCAAGGACATTGACAAGTCGGACAGCATTATTCGCAAGAAGAACCCCCAACATATTCGGATCTGATGATGCCGCTACCCCAATGATTGGCCCTCCAAGCCTTGATAAAAATGACTGCACGCCTGTATCCAGCTGCCAGATGACGAGCACTGCCTCCCTGCCTCCTGCAAAACACCCGATCAACAATTACGCCAGAGCTACCCAAACATCTTATTCGTTTTGGGGCACCTTGAGACATTTCTGACCCCTCGGGGCATAATACTTTGCAGTACTTTTCTGAATCAACATATCTGACTCGGATCCGCGTCAAGTATCCCCCCTCAGACTGTTAAGAGGTGTGCAGAAACTGGACAACAACGTAAATTTTGAAACAATGTATGAACAACCGTTGCACTCAAACGGTTGACACGCAGGCAAAAACAACATCTCTGTACTTCTCTTTTGTTCAAAAAGCTAAATAACATAAAAGATGGGAGATATTCATGCACTGCACTCGCCCTCGAGAGTGAAAATGCCCATTTGTCAGCTCCATGCACACCTTTCGGACACTTCAAGCGCTTCAGAAGTAATGAGAGATCCTTTTCTTCTTTTATTGTTCAGCGAGACAATACAATGTGTACGTTCGCAGGACTTTTCTCGCAGAGGCAAATCTGCAACTCTTAAGAGCTTCCACTGCTGACCCTATCAGAGCACATGCCAAAGTCTTCTCATCCCGGTATAGATCATGCATATGGTCTGGTTTTGTTCAGTGTTGGTACTGACAGAGGTACTTTTTTCATGAACATCCCAAGTTCCACGGGACGGACAACGTACTTTGTTCTTTGCTATCATATTCCGGTTGGTGCGAATTATTTTCATCAAGACAAATGGAAGAAAAAAAAATGCATCTCACACCCCTTGAAGCCCGTCTAAGCCCCCCCTTCGGATCACGTTCATACACCATAGACCCTTTTGGCTGATAGTCTTGAGACATCGCCAAAGATGAGGCCAGACATCTCAACCGGGGCAGATATGCCCTACCAACCATCAGGGGTTCTTCCCTTTCCCACATCATTATTGGGCTTGCTTGGGATGACCCTGGCAGGTGGGTGCCAGGGCAGAGAGTCCGAGGTGGGCCCAGTCATGCAAGTGGTCCCCAACCACTCTGGTAGCCTACGTAGCCAGTCCTAATTTGAGTGCACAAGACCGGACAAGGAATTGCATAATACGAGTGGACAAATCTGGAGACCGTCCACGGCGTCCAGTTCTATTATACATCCTCATTCAAAAAACTAGTCTGTAACTTTTGGTTGCCATTTCTGGATGCAGTTCTATTTGCTGCCATTGTAGCACTTCCCAACCCAGCCTTATCCCACTCAATCTAGCCAGGGCTACGCATTTCTGCACCCCGTTGTATCCGCTCATAGTCTAGAACTTGACTCTGACAGCGGGGGGGTTACTTGCACTAAGACTTTTCAGATCGAACCTGGTTGTAGCTACGGTCAGCTACGTCCAGGAAAGTCCTATTGTGACAAAGTCATCCGATCATTGTCCGATGCTTAATTCAAAATCCTAGTGACAAGATCAAACAGGACGATTGTAGACTCTGTCCTCTTCCATGCTCTCAAATAACACAATCCATGGAACAGTCCTTACTTCATCACTTTTTCCACTCGGTGGCAGGTCATAGGTTCGAATCCTAGTGAGTTAATCTTGCACTTCTTGTATGTTAGCAAGCACTTAGAGCCAGTCGGACGCCCTTGCAGTGCTTGGTTGAGGTCTGGCCGGTGCCGTAAGCTCCCCCTCACGTGCACTTGGGTTGAAATGTCCCTCACAGGGCTTCACTTTCATCCCAGCTCACTTTACCTATTGGTTAAGTGATCCACCTCTTTGGTGGCAGGTCAAAGGTTTGATTCCTACCGTCTTCACCAGAATATAACGCCCTGTCATTATAGCTGTATTTGCCATTTGGGGCATTTTTCAGTCCAGGTGCAGCGATAATCACCAGGTGTTCTATTCGGGTGAAGACGGTAGTGAGTTGATCTTGGACTTCTTGTATGTTATCAAGGCTGTGTCTATACCAGCTGCTTCTACGTACACACCTGTGTAGAAGCACCCAAAGGAGAATTCGGTGCATAATAGCCAGCATGCCCAGAATCCTTACTTCATCACTTCAGGCTTTACACAGAGGGGGTGCGTCTATACCAGCTTCTTCTACGTACACCTGTGTCGAAGCACCCAAAGGAGAATTTGGTGTTTAGTAGCTACTACCGTCTTCCCCCGAACACAACGCACCCTGATAATGAACGTATGCAAGAAATGTTTCCAGCCGGGTACAGTCATAATGAGGGTGTGTTGTGTTCGGGGGAAGACGGTAGCGTGCCCTAAAAGGAATGAATGGTTACCATGCTGCAATTGCGGATGGCAGAAAATATATCTTGTGATCCGAGTTAAAAACGACAACATCCCTATCAAAAAATTGGCTCTTGACGGATCACATAAGAGTTCACAATGGCTTGCAACTTCGCAAATCTCACAACGACCAAGTAAAGCGATTGTTAAGAAATTGGTTAATCACATGCCTGCTGGCCATGAAAAGGCACTCAGCGGGACAGCGTTGAACTGGTTTCTGAGATCTCCAGATCACAGACTCTATCTCAATCAACAGTAACTTGGTTGTTCGCCAAAAGTTTACGACCATATACAGTAGCAATCATGGACTACTTGGTTAATCGTACCGCTGTGAAGTGGTGAACCATTAAAGAAAAGCCTATTTGGTTCGTTCTGCAATTGTGAAAGTGAAAGCCAAGAGACTAAAACTGAAGGGGCATACTCACGCCTGGACTGTTTCGTGACTGAACCTGCCGATTGCTAAGGCCAGACGCATCGCAGAAAGCACCCGTGTGACATTGGCCTTTATAACTAACTAGCCTCTCTCAGCCGGCCATCAGATAGCAGTGGTAGAGAATCCACCGGTGCGTTGGTAGAGTACAGAAACCACCAGTGTATGAGCAAAGTGTGTGGTTATGCACGGGTGGCGTGCTTTGGATGTACAGGCCTACCCGTGCCCAGTTTAAATTCATTCAGGATTTAAAAACAGGCAGAGATACGGTTGCGCACAAGACTTGCAATGATGGCAAGTGACTGGAGACCACTGGCCAAACACACGACTTATTGCAATGCTGAAAAGCAAACGGTACTCAGGTAGCTTGACACAGGATATCGAGAATTGCAAAGACTACCAAGGAGTTGGACTAACAAAGAAATCATATCGTCCTTCGGGACATCCATTAAAATTGGAACGATACAGAGAAGATTAGCATGGCCCCTGCGCAAGGATGACACGCATAAATCAAGAAATGGTCCAAAATTAAAAAAAATAATATAAAAAAAAAAATCATTTGCAAATAACATCCACCTAGGCTACCAGCCGGGCGGCCAAGGTCACCCTGTTTTCCCGGGCAGCCCGGCCGTGCAAGGACCACGGAAGGTCACAGCAAAAAAAAAAAAAATCCAAAAAATCCGGAAAAAAAAAAAGTTATTATGCAGAAAAATAAACCGAACAACTTTTGCCTCAGGGTCACATCGAAATTCTTTACCAAATTTAAAATAAAAAATACAATTAAAAAAACTTTTTTTTTTATAGTTTTTTTATATATTTTTGCCCGGCCGGACAAGTGGCCCCGGGCCACTCTGGTAGCCTAGCATACCACTAAATAACTTCTTTTTATTTTCCAACAACAGTAAAAGCCCCATCTATTCTGGGGGGTGGCTGTCCGGTTGCTCGTCACCGGCAAGCTGAAAGACAAAATTCGAGAGCAGAGATTCAAGGGAGAGTTCACGGTCAGAGTTCGTAGCCCAGTTCTATCCGCAGCCAGACGGGATCTAACTGGTGACCTTGCCCATGACAGGCAGATGGATGTCTTTACCACCACTGCAACCGTAACCTGATGTCCGAAACTGATAGGCCATACCGGTCCTGACATTCAGCCCACCCCAGCATGGTTGCAGCAAGGACTTACTTCCCGAACACTCAACACCCAGGGCAGTGCACAATAACTCTTGCAAAGTGGAATATGTGACTTTTCCAGAGCTGACCTTTCTCTTTACTTTTTTTTCCGCAAATCTATTTGGGCTAGGGAGAAGAGGAACCCACCGGAGAATAGGTAGGAGCCATCTTCGCTGAACAGAATGGAACTAACTTCGTCAGCATGCCAGTGCAGACGTGTGCATGCCTGTGCATCGTCGTTCTCGTTGAAGGTCCCAGCTTTGGGGTTACCCATATCGAAAGAGGGAATCTTCAGGTCTGGTCGATCAATGCCGAACGTGGCACGCCCAACATTATGCCAAATACGAATTTCACCATCCTCTGCACCCGCTGCAACTCTCGTCTCCATCTGGTCGATTGCTAGTGTGGACAGATTCTTTCCCAGGTGATGAAGCCGGACACATGTGTACGGAGGGCCACCTCCATTCGCACACGACGATAGCCAAACGTATACCAGGCACCGATCAAAAGTCGCAAACATTCCACCAGCTCCGCTAACGACCATCTTGTTTGGACGGAACACCTTTGGAAGGAAACAAGCGTTTCGTCATGAAAATCACATCATCATCAACTCAAACAGTCAGCTCTCGCAATCCACCATCATCACCTCAAAAATAAATGCAAACATAGGACCACGCCAAGCAATCGACAAAAAAATGGTCAATGACAGACGACAGGCCGAGGACAATGCAACTGGGCTTTCAGTTTGATTAGATTAAAATGGACCTGTGTGCAATGTTGGCCCTGGCAGTTCCCACCGCCTACAATAATACCCCCTGATGGCCTGGAGGGGGCCCTCATTGAAAGCTGAGGGAAAGAAATGCAAAAAAAAAAGTCTCATTTGCGGCGGATCCTAGAGACACCTAAATAAACCAAGCATCAGTTCCAGGGTCTGCTGCATATCACACGTGGTTAACAGGCACCCCCTCATTCTTCGACGCTAAGGTTAATGTCATAAGCAGTGTCATGAGTGTTTGCGGGGTGATTCCTTTTATTTGTTTCCTTTTTGGCCTCTTTTCTTTTGGAAGTTTTAAGATATTAGATCAGGAGGATTCAATGAACTACCTTAGTTCTCCACAAAAGTGCACTACAAGTCTGAACTGAATTGTGGCCGATTCCAACATGAGCAGCCAGTCCTCAGCAGCGTGGTCGTGGTCGAACACCTGTGATCAAAAGATAGGATGCATACTGTACATCTAGGAGTTAGAGAGAGATGCAAAAGTTGGGATGAGGGAGAGGATGGACAGGAGAGGTGCAGGCATCAGAGATGATAAAGGGGCTGGAGCAGCATGATTGGTAAACTGGCTCGCCAGTGTTCCAAAGTGAGAAGAGTACGGAAGAAAAGAAAGCCCATAGCCGGGGAAACGCAAGACAGCCAATCGGACTGTACGGGAAGCACAAGTAGAGACCAAGGCCTCGTGAGATCGCACAGCATTACATTAACAGGGAAAGTAACTGCGGAAAGAAAGAAAAGAAACGAAAAGAAAAGGTGGGCCCATAACAGTGATCCTTCCCAGAATAACAGGTGCCATATACTCAATCCTTGGCTAATGAGAAGCAACCAACGCTAAAGTAGCAGCCACCTGACATTCTGCCACGGTAATCATTTCTCTTTGACTTGTTGGCGGAAAAACAAACCCCCGACTGCTCCTTCCCAGATTCGAACGGTCATCATCATAAGGCCATGTTTCAAGAAAAAACGCGAGCCGAATCCAAAGACTTGCTGGCGATCAGAAGCCATGCACAATGGCGCAGTTTGAAAAGGGATGCCAAACGTACCAATTGGTCGAGAGCCACTGATTGCGACGGCGATCCCCACATTGTCGTGGTTCTCTCAAAAACATCCCAGTTTTGCAACATGTATGGAAAGCGGCTAGCAAATACATGCACTTTGGGTAGCACATAGCACACCACACATTGTCACACTGAAAAAGGAATAAGATGTGACAGCAACGAGAAATCAATGCACGAAGCGGTCAGGAAATACTGTTTTGAGATCCTTTGACAGAGATGAGAGAAGAAAGAATGAGAGGGAGAAATGAGAAGGAAAGGGAAAAAAAAAAAAAGGAGGACGATGAGCCCTGATTATTCCCTCCCTCGGAGTCCCTCCTACCTTTTCCATGTGGAGCAGGACTTTTCCAGAAATGAGGTCTACAGGATAAATGCTCCCAAAGAAACGCCCCTTAGTAATAGCCTCTTCTTGGCTGCCTTCTCCGCGTTCCTTTTTTTTGGCCACAAGCTCAACCCAGCCATTCCTGTCCCTCCAAACAGACACGAAAGCAAATAGCTTTGAGAGTCTTGCCCCATCATTCTCCTCCTCTTCAGCCTCCTGTTGTAGTTGCCCCAATCTTGGAATCACCTGCCAGATCATCACCCACACAAAGACCGCATCAAACCACCTTTTCAGCTGACATTCAAGATTGTTTCGATGCGCAGGTATCCAACTGACAGCTCCTGCGTACACACCTCTGGATTGAAAAAAAATCAGATAGCCATTTTTTCCTCCAGCAAACTTTGGGCACAGCCTTCTCCCAGAAAAGGCATGGCAATGAGTCGAAAGCGCTGATGCTTTGACAATGAACAACTATCTCCAACTCAAGAGAGCAAAATTTTGTCTGATTGATTCCTATTTTGCCTGATTGATTCCTACCTGTAGACAAGACTGGAGCATCTCCTTGGAACACAAGCTGACTCAACCACCTGTCTGATGTCGTAACCGAACAAAGAACAAAAGGTTCAATAGCACATCTCAGATGTTGGCCCAGAGACAAATGATAAAGCAACCACGGCATAGTCAACACCAATCCACAGCACACACATACGCATGCACAAGACGAAGACAAAACGCACAACTTAAACAATTCAACAACATTATTAGGCATTAAAGAGATCAAGCAAAACAGGTGAAACCCACCCACTTTAAGAACCGAAGTGAAAGCTGAAAATGGCCTACCATCTTCACCTGAAAATAACGCCCGGGCATTGTATACGAATATAACGCCCGGGCATTATAATCAGTAAATGGGTGGCAACTTCGGTGGGGGCCCAAAATTCCAAAAAAATCAAACAATCAAAAAAAAAAAAAAAAGTGTCAAAAAAATATGTCGTCCAGAATTGCAATGCGACCATCTTTTGGCTGAGAGTCACTAAAATAAAATTAAAAAAAAAACGAAATATCCCCCTTGGAAGTCAAAACCCCTTTTAACCCCCTTTAAAACCCATGTATATCCCCCTCCCCGCCCTTTCAAACACATGTATACTACCTCTACAAGGCACTCTGCCCATGGAACATGCAAACATAACGCTCGGGCGTTCTATTCAAAAATATCGCTCGGGCGCGCCCGGGTGTTGTATTCGAATATAACACCCGGGCGTTATATTTGAAGGGGCGTTCTATTTGAGAAAAAGAGAGTGAAAACGAGAATCTGATCTTTTTAGGGTAAGTTAGAATACAACACCCGAGCATTATTTTCGGGTGAAGACTGTGGTGTGAAAGTAACAGTGACAGCAAAAGTGCGGATAGGTCTGTCTGACACAATCATCTCACCATCGACTCGACTGGATAGCCAACTTTGATAGTGCGGATAAGAACACCCGACTCATAATCCCACAAACGCAGGGTTCCATCGAGCGAAGAGGTCCAGCAGTGGCTTACAACAACCTGTATGTAGTAGTTAAGGTTTCTCCACAGACAACCACACGCACATGAGCACATGAAGCAGAAGTTCAGCAAAGAGCAATCAGTGAAACATGTGCATTGCAAAGGTACATATATTATAATAATAGCGAAGAATCAGATTACATTAATCAATCGTCTGAACATCAGCCATGACAGAATGAAAGGTGTTGGTGGTGGCGTGTGCCGTTTTCAGCTTCGCTGCGGCACAACTCCAAGAAAGAACTTGAAAACAAAGGAAAAAGAACTCTTGTGGCTGACAGTTTCATCAGACTTTCGGCAAACATTAGAGACTGGCCTTCCAACAGGCTCTCAGCAATGCATCTGATTGGTCTTTTTCAGATACACCAAAAGTCACCCAGGTCGGCGACGTCGCTGATGGTCAACTTTACTCACACGACCAGCCATGGTCACACCTCTGAGCATTCTGTTCGACCTAGTGCCGCGATTTCTTCCCCAAGCCCTGTTGCAACTGTCTAGCATGAGCAGGGATAATCTAACAGCCAGACAGACAGTCTCGTCGCTTATCGTCCCTTACTGTTTTGTGCTTTCTGGTCATTTTCAGCCCACAGACCTATGGCTTGCTCGCTTGCAGGACCCACCAAAAGCCATATGTGCCGCACCCGTGGACTATTCCCCCCTGCTCCTGGCTGCTTGCTATCTGCTAAATGGCCTCAATACCACGCTCCCAAATTAAATTATTTGGGACCGTGGAGAATGCCTCAGTCCGGAACGGGGCATACGAGAATGCCTCAGTCCGGAATGGGGCATACAGGAGTCGCCCTGAGGCATTCTCCACACTCCCAAATTATTCCAGACGAACACGAGAGAGCGACCCACTGGCCTGGCAAAGAGTCAATGTCAGGCAGCAGCTAATCCTTGATGGAGCCAAGCAGACCCAACGGCGGCTTCCACTGCCAACCAGCCGTGAGAGAAGCCAAGCCGTCCATGCAGGCCTCGCAGGAGGAGCTAACCATATCTTTGCCAGAAGCTAAGCCTCAAGGCCACCTGGTGATTGACTGCCTTCCTCTAGCAGCAGCCAAGCCTCAACGTCTCTACGACTTCTTTGTCCGTTAACCATGGGAAGACCACCCACTTCGCCGGTGCCAGAAAGCAAGAGTCGTAACATTCTTCGAGAGGGGATACACCTCAAGGTTTCAAGTGGACTGACTGAATTGCTTCCTTCCTCTGACAGCCGCCAAGTCTCGAGGTCTCAATCACTCCCTTCGCTAGCTGACCATCGGGGGCAGCAACCTACCTAACACTACATCCTCCACAAGGAAGTCAAAATTGGCGCACTTAACAGCCATTTGCGCTAACCACTGAGCTACTGAGACCTGCAATTTACAGAGTCAGGCAGGGTCATCCGGCCACACTGGTGCTTAGGAAGAGAGTTAACGTACTTGAAGCTGTGCTAAGCCTCCAGTTGTGAAGCTGATTGAATCTCTTTCAGTAGCCAGACATTTACATTGTGCTGCATCGTCTTCCCCCGAACATAAGGCATCCTGATAGTGAACGTATACAAGCTATATTTCCGGTCAGGTGCAGCCAACATGAGGGTGCGTTGTGTTCTGGGGAAGACGGTCGCCAGACAGTTCCACCAGGTCGCATCAGTTGAGGTCTGGGGATTCCTGAGATGCACAGGCAAATGCATGTTTGCCATGCAACTGGATACAGTAGTCCCCCTCCAGCGCCACCAGCCAATCATCCAGGCTGCTCAGGGTATGCTTCTGATATAGGGAAGACGATAGCAGATGTGATGGGATATGCTGGCTTCGCAAGTCATCACCCGCCTTGGCCCTGTCTGGTCGACAGACAGCCTCTGCAGTTTTCCATGGAACTGCTCCCATGTGGGTGGCATGTCAGCTTGGCAAAACAAGCTGAAGACAGAGAAAAAAAGGTATTAAAAAAGTGCAGATTCACAGCAGAGCTTTTCAAGTTAAAGAATTGTTTTTTTGCTCGCCCCACTGCAGTCAACGGAGCTTGGCCACGAAACGGCATATTACTAAAATAGGAAATAGCTGCTCGCAGCCAGCCCCGAGGGAACGGTTCTTCAGTGATTCCCTCTCCTCCTCGTCAGAGGATTTTGGACGCTTCAGTGTTCAAAGGGTTTCGACGGACAGCTGATTCCGCTGGGAGAGGAGAAGGCTCCCATGTTCCAGTGGCAGCCACAGTGAAGAAGACAGAGTCCCTCCCGCCTCCCGCCCCCTCCACCATCCCAGCCAAGCAAGTGCATAACAGGCTGGATGGGAAAGCAGCAAGAGGACCGGCGAAGCCCCCCAACAGCGTCCAGATTCAAAAACCACTCACCCACCCACAGACGTGCATGCACCACTTTTTGCGGGGGGCCAGGGGGCAGGGGGAGGGGGGCGGGGGGCACACTAGTTAGCTCTCACCAACACGCAGCATGCAACACAAAACAACACAGCTGGCAAAATTTTGGCCCTTCACTCCACCTCCAAACTTCCTCGGTGGATTCTGAAAGTTCTTGAGCGAACTTCTGTGAGATGAACTCTTACAAGTTTGCGATCATCACCCACAGCATCACGGGTTGAACGACACGAGATGGTATGAACAAGAAGACGTATAAATGACTGATGCAAAGATGTGGATATGGATAACAAGGTCTGGATGAGGATTCACTCAATTGGACTTGGAAAAGACAACAATAGCATGGGCATATAGACAATTCTATACGGATACACACACATGTACGTCTTCTGTGCATCCACTTGGGTGTGGGGAGAACACTGGTTTGCCACCATGGTGGGGCGGGGAGGCGATGGAGAGAGTTCAATTCTGGGATTGGATCCGCCCCCCCACACACACAGGCCTCTTGAAGTGTGACCGCATATGGGGTCTGGCATTTTTTGGGCCTGTGACTCTTGTAATCAGTTATGTTGTTGCAAACATTCTCTCACCCAGAATCAATCAATGGTAAATAAACGGGTGTTGCTATTTCTTTGGCCTAGTAGTGTAGTCCTATGGCCATTGAAAAGGCGGCTATCCATTTCGGTCGTGCAGGTAGTGACATGGCTTCACAAGGTAAGCACGCAGCCGGAGCAAAGAAAGTGTCCGTTCTGTTGCCATACATCTCGCAGAAGGAATTCCATCTCAGGAGAAAGGAAGATGTGTGCACCTGCTTGTGGATCCCGTCCTTTCTGAGACGTCGCTCCAAATCTGTCGTTGTTGGTTTGGCATGGGGGGCTGCATGGCTTAAACTGCACGCTACTCTACAGTCCATTTGAGAAGTGAAGGAAGGAGTGCTGATTCAAAATCAGCACTCCTTCCTTCACTTCTCAAATGGACTGTAGAGTAGCGCGCAGTTTCAGCACTCCTTCCTTCACTTCTCAAATGGACTGTAGAGTAGCGCGCAGTTTAAGCCATGCAGCCCCCCATGCCAAACCAACAACGATTTGGAGCAAAATCAGCACTCCTTCCTTCACTT